TTATGTTATGTCTGGAAATCTGCGAAAGACAGCAACTATGCGATCGCCACTCTTCCGGTCGCCATTTGTAGTCAGATCCAGCTATATCTCATCACGCTAGACTGGATCTTTACTGCTCTTTCCTCTCTTGCGCAGCATCCCTCCGGTTATATGTCAAGTGCGATGATCTCGACGAAACCAAAAACAGTCGAGTCTATATCACTCGGCCGCGTCACTTCGGAAAGTCGGGAAGACCTCGTTCCTCCTCTACAAATCCTCGGACAGTCTAAGGTCCACTGTGGGAAGCTGTCGCCCAGTCACGATGGAGAGGATGGGATTGAGTATGGAAAAATCATGAAAACCATCGAATACGGATTTGCAAGTGTTTGATGAGATCATTGACTGTTCGAGGGTCGGCATGCTTGTAGCAAAACCAATATTTGAATAGACGTTGATCCTCATCATATAGATAGACCATAATTACGATGGTAATACTGCGCAACAACAGCCAAATCGAGGCTTTCTCTGTCGCTCCTGAGTCACGACTACTGAGCACCGAGATAGTTTTGTTAAGCAAAGTGGTCTTCAGAGATTTCCATACAATCTGATCACTCTGGCCAGGTCAAGCGCTAGTGATCCGACTGTCTCTTGACATTTGTCTTGCTTGTGCGTCGTTCCTCAAAGACTCGCATACAGCGCATACTGCAGGTTGAGGCATCGCTCTCGACTCCGAGAGTCAGAAAGAGTTTTAAAGACCAAACTGTGTATATGTATCCTCAATCTCTTCTTACACCGTTGTTTCCCAGTGTCTCTGAAGGACTCGAGATGGTCAGAAGTGTGAAAGTCAGTTGTGTCCGCGGTACGTTCTTGGTGATCGGCTCATCGGTCGATGAGAGCGCCGTGGAGGTTCTGCGACTTGCATCGTATAGAAATTGCTGACCTGATCTATCACGCTATGCAGGGTCATTGAGAGACTACGGCGGACTTTCGACTTATCATGTGCTACGTGACTAGCTGGAGAAGCCACAGCAGCAGAGATCTGAGACATGTGTTCTGCCTCGACCCGCTATAGCCAGAGCATGACCTCGCACTCCCGAGTCTAACGATGGCGCAAGTCCAGTCAAGATTAGCTATGTTTTGTCGTCCGAGAAACCATTGACACTTCAACTCTGCTGCAACCATGAAGTAAGACCTACTTAAAAGGATCTGGACCCTCCACGTCACCAGTGTTCTGATCTAGAAGGCTCATTATTCAGTTACCTTGAACCTGAAATCTATCGGCTTGTAAACCCACGATCACTTCAACTTGATTAGTCTTGGACTCTGTGTATATCAGACGAAATCGAAAATCAGAATGTATAGATCAAGCAGCAATCTCCATCGTCTGTATCATTACGCCTTGAACAATTTGAGTTGAGTTACTGGTTGCTGAAGATGAACCAAGAATGGGAACTACAAAATGCAGACTATGTGTCAAAGCCGCTGCCAAAGCTACCAATCAGCCCGCTGCTCCGTAGCTGTTTGGCATCCATGATTTCCCTAGCGTCAACATATCCTGCTGGTCACCAACCATGTCTGGTGCTGCTTTCTTGGAAACCATCTTTCACCACCTCACTTCTCATCACGATATCCGTCTCGCGTGTGATACCAATGAGATTTACCGAATCATCAGGCCTGCTGCCAGTACCCGGAAGCTCACAGTATCTATCTGTACTGTGGCATTTTTTAGCAGCAGAAGTACCCGATTTCCAGAGACCAGAGAACATGGCGTTCAAGGTTGGTATAGATGATGTGATGACCTGCCAACTCGTGTTAGCATCGAAATCCTGTGATCTGAGAGACATGTAGGGTCATACCCCTACACAGGCCTCGATCACTCCCCAGAGAATCAACATGGTAGAATCTCCAGTCTCTACAACCTCTCTGATCTGAATCGTGCGTACGACTGAGCAGATAGTTGTGAAAAAGCCGAAGAACAGCGAGACAATCAAACGCAGTGTTTTCTTGGAATCCACAGTCGAACGCGGTATTATCTTGGGATCCACGTTCTTAATGGTATGGAGGGCTGTTACCGGCATGGAGAACGCGATCAAGTCGCAGAGTATGGTCGCGGCCGCTGTGCCATAGAAGAGAGGGCCTACCGATAGACATTTCCCTTTGATGTGAGGGTTCCAAGCCTTTCTCACTGGTCGACAGTATGACATCAAGGCCAAAGCGATTGCTACATGGCTCAGGACGATGATGAGGATGGCTGTTCTGATTACTGTTTGCTGAATTGCTTTGCCATTGCTCCGATCAAGCATTCTCAGAGCTCCAAGGCAAACGCCGATCTTGAAGGTCATCAAGGCCGCGACATATATGGGTCGACCCGCATAGTTTAGCTAATGCGCACCGGTTATAAGGGATCCTTTGTTACAAGACAAGATTAGTTACCAGAGTGAATTTGTGAAGATCTTCGATCGGACGCAGCTCGAGCGGTAATCCTAGCCCAAGACGCGTCTGGTACACAGCAAGTACTGCATATATCACAGTGGTAGCCTGAAACCAATTAGTCTACGCTATCAAACATGAAACAAGACAGACAGACAGACCGCAGAAGTGAAGGTAGTCCAATCGTCTAGACGAAAATGTCTTGCTCTATGTGCCCGATCGTAAGCTCTGAGAGCAACGACAGCGATCATGGTCAAGACCATCACTGAACAGACACAGATCAACATGGGATATCTGCTGCGTTGATTGGTCTCCGTGGAAGCATGTTGAACCCACATTCTGGAAGTATCCGGTGTCGTCAGACGAGTTGATGTAGGCAGCAGAAGGTACAGAGCATGGGGAAGTTTCTCATTAGTATATGGTGGCAAGGTACGGACTCATGCACGAAGAGCGTCGTTCTCGCAATGCTTTTTTTTTTGTTTTGAGTTTTCATTGCCTGTGAACAATTTGCTGCTCCTAGCAAAATGTGGCGCTCTGTTGCATTGACGGTCATATTGGTCCGATAGCGCCCGCGACCCCAACAAGCAAGATATTCAGTATGATCCACCTACATACATAAGCCTACCAAGTAAACGGGAATCGAGGATGTGATTCATGCGCTCTGTAGCATGGCCGGGACAACATCGAGGCTACTGCAAAATCTGCTCGCAGACGTTTTATTGTTCTCGCATCTGTTACCTATAAAATAACCCACGTCCCAACATCCTCAGAACGATAAAGCTCTATGTACACCAGAAAAGTCTTCAGTAAAGAGTGTGCTGATTGTGATCGAGTCTTTGTAGCAGAAGAACGGGGTACAAGGGAGAGCGGCACGCACTATCCAGGTCCACGAACTCGATAAAATTACTTGTAGTATGCTTGTTGCTCATCTCCTCCTGCATAGCTCTGACCGGAACCTTGGTATCGATGATATCGCTGCGACAACGGATACGTACAACAGACTAGAGTATGCATTGAGACAGAATTAGGGTGCGTATCAGCCACGATGGTGAGATATTGGAACATCGAGTCTTCTATACCATTTCTTATGTCCATTTTCTGGCTGATTGCATAGATATGTTGCCTCAGATTCTCAAGAAATCACCTGAGGGTTTTGGCAAGGAGACCACTAATCATGACGGGAACGCGGGTAAAACGAGATCGGACGGGCACGGTGCGCATGTGGTTGACACCTGCTACAAGAAATGTAGCACGCCAAATAGTTAATGGAAGCGAAGAGTGTTTATCATGCCCTGCAAAAGCTTAGTGCCGGCTGCTAAACTCAAAACAATGGCGCTTGACTTTGATGCAGTGATCGATCGTTGGAAAATCTCGCGTACAGATCTAATACATTACTAGGGGGTCAAAGATACAAGGATAATCGTTCCGGCTTGGAAGTAGTCACCTGGAAAGTTCTTCGGCGATGCCTGACGTGCTTGAATCCAGTGACTTGCGCTGTTCCGCGCAAGGTCTCTCTATCTGTATTTGAACTTGTCAGCTGTGATTTACATAACCTTAAGCTCCGGAGCAACTACTGTTTCGACGAAATCTAAGATATCAAGTAAGGAACAACTTCACCATCGTTTAGTGGGAATATGTAGATACAGACGCTAGTGATTCTCGATACGAGTCGATGAACATTGTGATCACGACTACAACATGTGACCTAACATATGGCCTAGCGAGTTGATCATCAACATTCGAAGCTGGCAACAGTCTGATCAAGTCCGAACCTGGACACGGACTCATCTTCCAGCTGTATGCTTGTGTTAGGATCTCCCAAGTCTCCATATCCGAGCCGTGGAACAGTTTATCAGACATATTGCTGTGGCATCGTCCTTTCAGTCACCAGCGGGCTATTCTCATCCATAGAATCTCCATGCGCATCTTCACATGCGACCCTACTCTTCCTAATTGCATCTGTAGCTCGTGTCATCATTCTTTCCCCGTAGCCTCGTATGGCGTCTCGCATGTTGCCGCCATTCCGATACACAAGCTTGAGGGTTTTCCAGAGATCATGAGCATCCAGAATACCGTGATTCGCAGCTTCTCCTCGAACTAGATATCATTAGCCTGGAGTTATAGTGGTACAGAAAGTTCTTTTACACATTGTCATTGGGTGAGCGGCGTCTCCAGCCAGAGTTACGTATCCTGAGTTGGTCCAAGGCACAGGTTCCCAATCTGCCAAAAGTATCTCTAGAACGGGTGTGCCCTCGGCGATATCGTCAATTACGTGCTTCAGACAAGGCGCGAAGTCACGAGCTCGGGATTTGAAGGCTGCAAGTCTCGAAGCGTTGTCGGGAAACACCTTATCCTCATTTAGACGCTTCGGCCAGCTGATGTTAATCTGAACAGTACAGGTTGAATCTTCCTTCGTCGAAGGCTTGAGGAGCGAGTAGTACAGAAAGGTGCCTGTACCCGGTTCGCTCCCTTGAAACAGAAGCTTATCGATGGAACGAAGGGGGGCGACTTGCCTCTCTGTGAGCTGAGTACCAACTCCAAGCATGCGATATGGAAGTGGAGTCACTTCGTGCTTTTCAGGACACAAGAATCTTCTGATGGCTGAGTTACTCCCGTCAGCGCCGATGATAACATCGGCGTCATGGAATATTCCTTTTGCGCATTGGACTCTGGCGAAACCATCATGGTACTGGACGCTTTTGACATGCTGATCCCACTGGATATTGCTTTCCAAGCCATCCATGAGTGCCAAGCGGAATCTGCCTCGGTTGACCCGCCATCGCTCCCCAGAGGCGGTATTGAAGATCTCGCTGCAATCTCTCAGGTTGATCAACTTGAAGTCTCGAGCATCGTTTCCAGCGACTTCTGGGTTGACTCGGCACTCCTTTATCCGAGTAATCAGTTCCGGTGAGAGCATCTCCTCAAGGAGCGGTAGAGCCCAGTGTAGCGTGATTGCCCATCCCTGTTCACGTCCGTCTGCGGATTTATCTCGTTCCAAAATCGTGAATGGAATACCTTGCTGTCGAACAGGCAATGGTCAACATTTGTTAAAGCTGGGGGAGGTATGCATGTTGGACAGACCAGTTTCAGCGCTTGTCCCAAAATCAATCCCACAACACCCGCCCCGACTATGATGATATGGGGCATGACGAAAGTCAGACCTCCAGAAGTTCGCACTTCACTGTTTGATGACTGAATGTTGGTAGTAGTAATTCTGGACAATTGACCCCAGATGGATGCTCACGCCTATTATGCGACTCGCTCCCAGCCAGAATATAAGTGAGAAGTATGTTGACTAAGCTGTTTTCATCATGTTTGAATCATCGGGGGGTGATAGAGGTAACTGCACAGTGGTAAACTAGTTCTGGTTACCTGTCTAGCAAATATGGGGGGTTCGGGTTACTCATTAGTATGGAGCGCTTGGCCCAGACCACCGGTTCTCGCTCGGCTCTCGAACCTTATCAAGACAGAGATCGACAAACGCACAGACCGCCATAGCGCTAACCGAGAGCGTGGCCAGAGCGCAAGATCTTTACTGAAGCTGTGCCCTAAGCTGCTTCAAGCGCGAAATTTGCTGACGACACGGTAGAGGGTTGCCTTGAAGCTTCAGATCAAGACACCACACGTTATCGACGGGAGAACAAACGCTGTTACACTCACAACGATAGCTTGACTCGGGTCACTACTTCGGGTCTGAGGCAGCCGTTATTGATAGAACTGCATCGAATATCCGATCGGACACTGTTGGTAAATCCTTGCCTCACGTATATTCAATATCTTTGAGTGAACTCTTTGCGACCTTCCTGATGTGTTGGTGATGTTGACATGACTCTTCAGCCAACCGCGTAAGCTCGTCTATCGGAGCAGGCACAAAGAGCAAGAAAAGGCCGAGATGGTCTTCTTCGTCGCCGCGAAGCCACCAGATTGCTTCACCCGGAACGAAAAATTGGAGTTTCAACGGTCACAAGAGGCGTGTATTCGTACGGGTTGCTTACGGTGAAGCCGAATTTCCTCGTCAAGCGATGTATCCTGCTGTACTATCCTCGTTATGCTCTGTCAGATTGTCACTGCCCCCACTGCCTATCACTTTCTCAGGCCATTACCCAGCACCAGACTACGGATTATATGATTGAGCTTACAATGTTGATCTGGAGTACCAATTCACGAAGGAATGGTGCCTGTATCTTTTGCTCCCATCCCTTGCCACAATAGTCGAACGTCTCGCGTCACATCGGACCGAGCTTGACTGCTGGATGATATCGAACGTCTGTACGCTTAAATGATCTCATCTCACAAGCGATACTCGCATTCGTCAGATGCTCGTCTCGAGTTTCGATGGACATAGAGTGCACGTAATGCTAGCGTGATAGGAATAGCAAACGCTATGACAACCATCAGGGTGATTTTGGCTGGAAGATATCCTGGGGCATCGTCCTTTTGGTATGTTTGGGGGCCGATAATGTTTGCAACGCCGAATGCAGCAGAAATCACCGCACTTGCGGTCACTTTCTGCGTGTGGCCGTTGTAATTAGCGCCAACCCAGTTATATATGATAGCCAACGGAGCCACAATCTATTTTCAGTCAGTCTTCACTCACCACATTACCATCAATAGCTGCAGACTCACAAAGTTGACCAAATAGATACCAGCGAGAGACCCAGCTGAACGATCGATGCCCTCAAAAGAAAGCAGAGCACCACCAATCAGAGCAGGTATCAAGAGACCTACGATGGACAGCCACCTGGGTGCCTGCTTCACAATTGCCCAAGTTGATAACATCGTTGCAAAGATGCTCACAGCCCCAGATGGCATGTTGAGAAGTGCACTTTGCCTTGAGTCAAACCCAAAGCTGTGGATCAAGACAGCCGAAAAGGTGGTGATTACACCGCTCGGGATCGTTATGCAAAGTGTCAGCAAGACCAGAAGCCATGTTTGTGGATCTAGAAGCAACTCTCTGAAAGAGTGAAGAC